ATATATATATATATATATATATATATATATATATATATATATATATATATATATATATATATATATATATATATATATATATATATATATATATATATATATATTTACATTATTTTATTAATTATTTTAGTAATCTTGAAACAATTTTATTATATTTAAAATTTTGAAAAATCACCTTTATGCGACTGAAAACTATATTTTGTAATGAACAACTTGTGTCTAATTGTAATATTTTAATAACATTTTTTTTCATCCAAACTTCAGCGGGTTATCAAAGAATGAACAAATCTCATGAATTGCGCTCAAAATATTTTTATTATTATAATCCGAAAGGGATAAATTCAAGTCTTTTTTTAATTTCGTTTTTATTTATTTTAGTTTTTTTTTTTTTTTTTTTTGTACATATATGTCAAAATTTGAATTGATTAGAGACGCCATTTCTCAGTCTAAAATTGCAGGGGTCTAAACTTTATATAATTTGTCATTTAAAAAAATTCTCATTACTTTTAAATTAGCAACATTTATTTTTGACAAGGATAGTTTTTTATGGTTCATTGTGTAATAATGAAAAAAAGTTTTGCAAATGGCGAAATTTACAGAAAGATAAAGTTCTATTGAATAAAAGAAGAATTAAAAAAAAAAAAAAAAAAAAAACAGAGATGAAACGCTAAAAATCGAAGATTAAACGCTAAAAATCGCATCTCTTCAAATTTTAACTTTTTATTCTTTTTAAATTTTATTTCAATTTAACTTGTTTATCGTTGTTACAACCTATGGCTGAAGAGGAAGAAATCGACAGAAACGCAGTGCACTCTACTCGTGACGTTATTATCACTCTTTCGACAACTCAAATAGCGAAAGGCTCACTAAATCTTCCATTAACTGAACTATTATTCACTTTTAATAATTTTCATTGTCTCTAGATCTATTGTATTTCATTGTATTAAAAATCAACCTTCTTTTTTATGGAGAACAGTTAAACATATATTTGCCTTTAACATTTATTCAAGTTCAAATAAAAATAAATTCTATAACACAAATATATTTTTGTATAATGGCGGGTAAAACTTGCTTAGTTTGAAAAAAAAGACTGCTTGGGATCCAACATTAAAGCGCCACCCTCTAGAATTTCAATGGGTTATTTACCAACACATTTCATATTTAAATGTTTTCTGCTTAAAAGGAAAAGCTATATAGTTATTATAGTTATAAATAGTTGAAACTAATATAACGAATTGGTAACGAAGTAGGTATCAATATAACAAAAAGTTATATTGATACTAGTTTTTTTATGTTTTAACTGTGACTACTTTTAAATTAAAGTAAAATAAACAACTTTAGCGAAACTAAAACAACTTTAGCGCAATATAGGGAGACGATGGAAAAGGCTGAGAGATTAAATTTATTTTTTTAGTAATGTTTGTTTTTCTAGAGCATCGATCAATTAAAGCCTAAAAAGCGTCCAATTGCTTCGATCAAGTTGTTTTAAACGCTTAGTTTTTTGACCTTTTTATGACATTTTGTAAGCTTTTTTTTTTGCGTTTCAAAACGATTATTTCAAGATTTGATTATTTTATAGTGGTTTCTTGTTTTTACATAAGCTTTCGTTGTTTTGAGTATAATTCAGTATTTTTTTAATAACTTTTTAATTTTTTTTGCCTTAATATTAAAAATAAATTGGAAGAATACAACGAGACGATTTATTTTTGATAAATTCTAGATATACCTTTTCATTTATCAAAAAAATTTACCCCCTCTCCCCATCTCTAGGTGATAAGTTGGATGGGGTGTGCAATCATAAAATCTAAATTTTATTTTATCCTAATTACTCTATTTCTTGATATATATATATATATATATATATATATATATATATATATATATATATATATATATATGTATATATATATATATATATATATATATATATATATATATATATATATATATATATATATATATATAAATATATGTATATATATATATATATATTGATAAGTAATATACAAACAGCAAGACTTAAAACTTTTCCCGCTATTTGTATAACGTTAAACAAAAAAGTTTAGCTTTATTTCTAGGTAAACACGGTGTTTACAACTTTAAAAATAAATAATATTATCTTTATATAAAATGCATACATATGTATGTATGTATGTATGTATGCATGTATGTATGTATGTATGTATGTATGTATGTATGTATGTATGTATGTATGTATGTATGTATGTATGTATGTATGTATGTATGTATGTATGTATGTATGTATGTATGTATGTATGTATGTATGTAAGTATGTATGTATGTATTTATGTATATGTATATATATATATATATATATATATATATATATATATATATATATATATATATATATATATATATATTATATATATATATATATATATATATATATATATATATATATATATATATATATTATATATATATATATATATATATATATATATATATATATATATATATGTATGTATAAATATATATATATATATATATATATATATATATATATATATATATATATATATATATATATATATATATATATATATATATCTGTGTAATAAATAATTACTAAATTTTGATATAAATGTATAATAAAATTTGCATATACACGCGTATATAAATATATTTAGCCGTCTGAACAAATATGATTGTTTCCAAGGAAACCAAAACACATTTTAGAAGTGGCAAATATGAGTAAACTAATATTGTCAACATAGTCTCTTAGAGAACTTGCCGCGTTTGTTTTTGATTCGAATCTTGTGAAATATAAAATAACTAATACTTTAGATTGACATTAAAGACGTATGGCGTCAACTAGTAAATATTTTTGCTAAACTGCATAAACGTTGTTTTTTTTGAAGCCATATATTTCCATAAAACGGAAGTAATTAAACTAGATTTGGGGCAATACAATGAAAAGTATTTAAGAAATAAGGCCAGGTTAGAGCAAGTATTTTTCAATTTAGATATTTGTTAACATATTAGTTTTATTATTTATACAAAGCCTGGGCCCAATTAGAAGGATCAATTCGGGCGGTCGCTTGGTTTTTTTATTTAGATTACACACCTGTAAAAATACAAATCAGGGGCGCCGTAGTAACAGTTTGTCCAGATTGTAAGAAAATTCAAGTCAGGCCATGGATATAAAAACTTGATTATAAAAAACTGTTTTTTTAAAAAAATCTATTTGTTTTAAGATTATGAAAGTTTTGAAAACAAACATAGAATTAAACTTTTGTCTCCTTTAGTCGATGATTTGTGTTTGGATTTATAATCACCCTATAAAATCCATGAGCTTAAGCGTGATATGATCCACTTTGACGCTTATCACTGTATATGCAGTCAGTATGGCATGTGTATCAGAGAAATTACATATTTATTAACAGTTTTAAGTTTGTTTATTTATTTTCATAATAATTAATAAAATAACGTTCAGAAAAGTTAAAATTTATTTAGTTTAAAATTTTATAATAAAGATAAAAATCATGTTAATAAAAATCTGGTAAAATAAATTTCAAAAAAGGTAACCTTAGCAACAAGAAAATGAGCTGTGCTATGTATTTAATTTTTATAATTATATAGGTTTTAAATGCTAACTTGCTTATATAAAGTTTTAGAGCATATTTATTTTTAAATTATTATTTTTCAAAAGTAATGGAGTTTTATAAAGTGGACAAGTTTTAGTGCTGACATCAACTAAAGTTGCCGCTTAATAGGACTGAAAACAAGTTCACGACAAAGAACACTAACAAAGAAATTCAATTTTCGTATATTAGTTCAACTGATACTGCTGTATTGACTTAGATACGCGGTGAAAAAAACTCTTGTTCTATTTTAAAAATTACACGGTTGCATCTGTCATTGTTAGCACAATAAATGCACACAGAAACGTGTTTTTTCATATTTCTTTGTAAGTTCAAATGGCTCCAGTACATATTTGCCCATACCTTTAATAAAAATGTTTTAATAAAAAACCCATTTTTTATCGAAAAAATAGATGTTGACTCAAGTTAATCAAAATTAATTTTCATGTTACTCTTTTACTATTGTTTTCAATTCTTTATAGAGGTTTATTTACGCGTTTATTTGCGCGCATGAAACTCACTAAATTTGCGCAAATTTGAGCGCGTAAAGAATTTTGAAAAATTACGTAAGTTTTTAGTGCAAATCTTTTTATGTCTCTGTTATCGTTAAATTAAAATGACTGATCGCTAAATTTCTTTGAACTTCTTTTTTTCAAGTGGTTCACAAGAGTCCCAAAAATTATTTTCTTGCGGCAGCGTTCAATCCGGGAAAACCGGATACAAATAAGTCTGAACTTGTCAGTCAAAAACCACAACAAAAAAAAAATATTTTTTTTTCTTATTAAGAAATCTTTTAAAAATTTTATTACCTCGATTATTTTTTTTATACTACCTTATGATTAAATAATACGATGTTTCGAAGATTACATTAACAAAAAAACAACAACTTTTCAATTATATTTTGTGTGTATGTAAAGATGATATATGATAAAATGTATATATTAATTATAATATAAGTAAAAAGAACATCAACACCAACATTACTCCTTTTCTCAAAAAGGGCTTAAACAGTGACTTTCATACCGAGTTAAAGATTCTCATATAAAACAAGAGTAGCTGAATGTGGTTGTTTTGTTTTTGACAAAGAAAAACTTTGATTCAAGTTTCAAATGTGAGTAACTAAGCTACAAACCTACTAGTAATACTAAGAACACATGATCAAAAGATATCAAATTGTCTATTTTTATATATTAATATAATTGTTTTTTAAAAAGATTGTTTACGATTTCTCTCGACTAACTTAGAATCGAAGAAGATTCGTTACATTGAGTAAAGTTCTCTTTTTTGTTCAACGACTAATATTTAAGTATTGAACAATATCATTGAAAATTTTTATTAATGCTATTGGTAGCAACTACAAAAACATCATACCTTAACATTATTACTACTTACATCAACTCTAAAATTCTTTAACTTCTAAGTTGCTCTATAGTAACTTCACCACAAAGAAACTACTCAACATATGAATATTAAGCAAAACAAATTTTGTGACAGACAAATTTATACACAATGCAAAATAAAGATTGACTTTGTAGAAATTAAAACATCTATGACATATTTACATGTTTTTTTTTCTTTAAATATACACTTCGTAGAATAATAGGACTAATAGATTTGTTTGCCAGCTACATGAAATGTGCAAGCAATCGTATTTATTCGTTTATTTATTTGTTTTAATAAACTCTTGCGTTTTATTTAATAGTTCTAAAGTAAACGGCTATTTGACTGCAAGTTTATTTTAAAAAAAACCTTAACTTGTCGTTAAATATATTCTGAGCAGAACTTTGGCATGAGAAATTTATGATACCATATAACTATATAACATATTTGACGTAGCTTATTAAGTTTTCTTATCCGCATTTTCTAATAAAGTAAATAAACAAAATATAAAACGAAAAACGAATATTAATTTTCCGGATTTTGGGCGTCAGCATTCATTGGCTATTTTTAGCGGTTTGTTATCTTTATTGGTGCTTGTTGATGTTGTTGTTAATTTGAAGACCAAATGTTTTTTTTTGTAAAGTTGGTTATTATGGACTGACGTTTTGAGTTGCTAACTAAAAATTACTATTATAATTTTTTTAAGATATCAAAATATATTTTTGTCTATATATTATTAATAATACTTTTATATATAATTTAAAAAGATTATTTACGCCTAAACGATTTTTTTCTTTTATTAAAAAACATTTTTAAATACGTTCAAATCTAAGACAAAAAGAAAAAAATATTTCCTAGAAAAGAATCATTTTGAACGAAATATTGTTGAAATATCGCGCGCTCAATAAAGTTTTTAAAATTTGGGATCACTGACTTTTATTTTTGGCATATCATCACAGAGAGACCGCTAGGAGCTAAGAGTCGCCGTAAAACCTTTCGACTTTGAAAACATTTCTTGAATAGTTTCTTATGACCCAAAAACAAAAGATAAATCATCTGCAACGCAGTGCATGCGCGATTATTTAAACACGAAAAGCTTTTTCTAGTTTATTTATATACGAGTGTTAAACAAGTCAACTTGTGTGCACAAAGGATAGATAGAAGCGTATTCAAGATTGTAATTAACAACCAAATATTTATATACAAATATCACCTGAAAGAAAGTAAACGCGAATAATTTTATTTAAAAAAGACGCATTATAACAACATGATGGACACGGTTATACCAAATAATACTACGCCGTTATCGCACATGGTGTTGCATAGTAGTGGTCGGCATTTAACTCCGGGAGAATGTGATATAAAACCACTTGTTACGTCACCTCCAACTATCGGAGAATATACAAATCATATGGCAATGCAACAGCAAACAAGCATCGAAGATATAGAAGAAGAAACGTCAAAAGAATCGAATTCACCGATGAAATCTCGAAACTACCAGCATGCCAAACCGCCTTACAGTTATATATCTCTCATAACAATGTCAATACAAAATACACCCGGAAAAGCTGTTACACTTAGTGAAATATACCAATTTATAATGGATCACTTTCCATATTACAGACAAAATCAACAACGGTGGCAAAACTCTATACGACATAGTTTATCTTTTAATGACTGTTTTATAAAAGTGCCACGTTCTCCAGACAAGCCTGGTAAAGGAAGTTTTTGGACACTTCATCCTGATGCGGGAAATATGTTTGAAAACGGATGTTATTTACGGCGACAGAAGAGATTTAAATCTGACAGAAAAGCTAGTTTAAATATAATGAACCACAGTCGAGTAAATGATATGTATAATCCAGCAGGCATGCAACAGATAAAAATAAACCAATCAGCTCGAGTAACTGGTCCTCCTTTAGGAGTACCTCCTCCATATATGCATAACTCTTTTGCTGGTGCTTATAGAGGACTTCACTCTTTCAACCATCCTTTTGCTATAAAGAACATTATTGCGCCTGAACATGAAGGCGATTTTAGATATGCTGACCCTATGCACTTTCCATATCATCCATCCACATTTACACCACCACCCTCAATGTATGGAAAGGACTCTATGCCACCTGCAAGTAGTGGGGACTCTTTTAATATGTCTTCTTCAATGTCACTACCATTTAACCCATACTACCAACCGTGTATGATGCCTCAGCAGCAACATAGTGGTCTTGTTTAAAGTTATTATTTATGAATTCATTTTAGATTATCAAAAGGAAAATGTTCCTCGACTACTACCTACTACATAAATTTTATTTTTGGAAGCTTTATATATATATATATATATATATATATATATATATATATATATATATATATATATATATATATATATATATATATATATATATATATATTATCACATAGATTTAAATTTTATATATTTGAGTTATATTTTAAACAAAGTGAAATAACTTTAGCTAATAATTTATTTATGAGCGACCGAAAACATTTATGAGTGGTTGTAAAGTAACCAAATAACATTTAAATTCTCGAAAAAAGAAAAAAATAATTTGTGGTGTTTTTTTAGTTTTAAAAAATTAACAATATCTATTTAAAAAGATACAATATAAAAATCTATATCCAATTTTTTTAACCTTCGGTTTAACGAAGCATTATTGTCGTTTAATGTGATTTGTTAACACCATTTTAATAGTTTTTAGCGAGATATGTATGTAGATATTCCAAACGGATTTTAAGAAAAGTTGTAAATAATTCTATGAAAAATATAAAAATAAATTTTAGAGTAATATATACGTAATTTATTTATGATAGAAAGATTGACCACGGACAATTTAATAAAACTTTCGAAAAATTCTTTTTGCAAAGTGGTTCAAGTTTGTATCGTTATAAAACTTGATTGCATCATTCTGGAATGCACCGAGTTTAGTTTGAATACAAAAAATATATTTTAAACACATTTGATTTATTTTGTTATTATTGTGTTACTGAATTAAAAGCTAACCCAAAGTAAAATGAAAATGGTTGTGTATATTTTGTATAATGTGTTAAAAAAATGTATTATAGTTTTAAGTTAATTAATGAAATTTCATACATGAATTTCAAACTAAGAAAAAATATAACCTCAAATAAACTTTTTCTTTTTTTGTCTCGTTAGATAAAATCTTATAATTGTTTTTTTTTTTTATTTATTATGAAATCCAAACATAACTCAGATTGAAGTAGCTAAACACTTAGAAAAACTTTCTTTTGTGTAATAAGTGACATAAAATAAAAAATAAAAACAAATCTAATGCAATAAATGTAAAATTTTAAGTTAAAGTTTTCTTGTAGACTGTAACTTTGTTCACTGTAACTTTGCAGGCAAATGTTTCAGTTAGATGAAGTTGTGCTAACTACGGCGCCGGATTTCATAGTTATTTGACAGCGTGGAAACCCGTAGAAAAATTAAAACTTTTAATGTATATATATGCAATATTGAAAAAAATGATATATAAAACACAAAACTGCAGAATGGTCATTAATAGTTTTTATAATCTCCTAAGCTCAAAGCAAACTTTGGAAGGTATAATAGCTTTTCAAAAAACTCCTAATGCATAAGAATAAAGGAAATAAAAAATTCAAAAAATGTGTTATTAAAAAAAAAGAACAATAACAATAATAACTTCAATATTTGATGATTTTTTTAGAGTAACAATTAGTAATCGTGAAATAGTTTGTACTCGTTGTGCAATTTTTAAAAGTCCAGGGGCAATCGTGGAAAATCTCGCGATTTCTTATAAATACTTTTGATTGTTTAAATCTTAATGGTACAATTTTGATAAAAGTACCATTAAAATTTAAATAAGTAAAAATAATTAAAAAGAAATGGTGAAAATTTCCACAACAGTCTGTGGATCTTAAAAGTTGCACAAGTTATTTCATGATTCCAAATTCTTTCTATAAAATTATAAGTATAAAATTTAGGAACATTCAAAGATTTAAAATTAAAAGCAAAGAAAAGAATTATTTTGCTCTTAATTTTGATCCAGTTTTGAAAACAAACACCTGTGTATTCCTAAAATTTAAATAAAGGTTACTTTTGTTAAATGAGAATCCAATAATTCAAATATTTTTCAAATTATCTTAATAAAAATCATTACTCTTATTAGGTTGTCAGTGATGGTTACATTGTGAGCTGTACGAAGTATAGTTCTAGAGTAAAGAATCATTTTAATTGGTCAGCTTTTCCTGATGTTATAAACTACAAAGACAGTGGAATCATTTATGATATTCTGCCACCATTACATTTAAAACAGTACGAAGATTATAAGCATGTACAATTAAGTGTTTAAAGTCCAACAACAATTTCAAGCAACAATGCATTAAAATAAGCTACATGTAAGGATCAGGGGGTGGCGTGAGCCTTAACACCGTCTGGGACTACGACTCAGATTAGCATCCCCTATTTTTTAAATTTTCATATTCTATCATTGAATGACTTTTTTTTTTCGGAGACTTTTTATTAGATGTCCTTTGGATATTTTGCCGCCCGGGACAAACTTTCTCTTTTTATTGAACCGGGAAACCAAAAAAGCCCTAAAAGATCCCCCCCCCCCAACACACACACTCCAAATGTGAGCCCTACGGGCATTTGTTTTTAAAAGTTACGTTCTAAATGTCTTTTAAACGTTCTTTACAATATAATGTTTAGAAAACGTTTACAAGACATTTAAAATACATTTAAAACGTAATTTTTAAAACAAATGCCCGCTGGGAGGATAATGAGTAAATAAAATATTTCTTTTACTTACACTAAATTTAAATTTATCGACAGGTTTTAAGTTTTATCTTATAACCATTTAGTGTACAAAAGTTATGACCATGTTAAATTTAAAACTCACTTTCGGAAGGATGGAAACGCTACGTGGTTATAACATGCGAACACTAAAAAATCATTAAATGAAATTTAAAACTTTTTGATGAATTTAAATTTAGTATAAGATGAAAAAAAAAGTATTTTTTTTTTTAATTATTATTATATTATTATTATTATTATTATTATTATTGCTATTATTATTATTATCAATATTATTATCATTAAAAACTATTAAGTCAATGCCCCCATATCTAGGGTAGCTGGAGTAATCTTTAATATGTATTTTTGTTCCCAGGCTCTAAGAAGCGTTTCTAATAGGGCTCTGATAAGACTAGTTTACGTCTTCTTCTTGCACCAGTCATTTATATAACTTTTCTATATTATTGTACATTGTACACATTTTTAAACGACGAAACAAACTAAACTAAAAACTAATTACTGCAATCTATTGCAAAACATTCACATTTAACGTTAGCATTGACATACTTAAGTTTGTAGTTTGTATATACTACTTGAAAGTGTATTCATTAAAACATCAACAAAACTTATCTACGCCACTGACTCAAACAATGACATATCAAGATAAAGACAAATAATATATTGAGTAATTCAGATGTGTTTTTTTTAATATGAAAAATGTTTAATTTTTTGTAGTAGAGTTATTTCAGCAATGCGATATTATCCGTCAAGTTTTTTTTAATAAAAAGAATGGTATCATAGAGTAATCTATACATTCAATCTTGCAGCTATTAACATTTCTCAAAATGGTTGATTTTTGAACCCTACTTAAAACTATTTTTGACTGATAAAGGTTATTAGACAGATTCTTCATACTTATTTTTGCTTTTTTAAAAGCAAAAGCTATGATAATTTTTAATGTCATCTTACGACAGAAATACATCCAGTTCACACGAGTGTCTAATAAACGCTCTTGTTCTAAAGTCCAGTGGGCACGGGACGTAAAAAAGACGTCTTTCGAAAGTTCTGAACATCTTTTGTACGTTTAAAGACATCTTTTTTAGGTACATGCCCTAACCTACAATCTATTTCTTATTCGATTTTAGTCCACGTAAAGGTTGTTCATTCTCTGTAACAGATAATGACATTATGTTAAAAAATCAAACTAGTATGTATATATAGATTTAGTTGAAAAGGTTAAACTCTTTCTAGAATTGAAAAACGAAGACTCATTCAAACAATTAAGATGAAAAATTTCTTTAATAAAGTTGTCTTCTATCTTAAAAGCTTTTATTTTTTACCGGTTCTTGATTTTTCAACCAGATCTAGGAAATCCATCTAAAATTGGCATTTTCACAATGCCAATTCTAGATGGATTTTTTGATTGAAATCATAAAGCGCAACGTTGAAGATTTTCACTTCAATGGTTCAATACCCGCTATTTTCTCTATATGTTTTGACACAAGAAAAGCGCTATTTTATCTCCCAGCTTTTCTAGTTGAAATCGATGTGCAAAAAGAAAAGAATATAGTAATCGCTATGTAATACATCCATCATCCCATCGAAGATAACGATATAGTGTCATGACAATAAAAATTTTGTTCGGATAAGATCTATCGTCTACGTTAATGTCTTCAGTTAAAAATTTTTTTTTTATCTTATCGGCCCCCTCCAGCCATCGCAAGGAGATTATTTAAAACCTTTTATCTTTGGTAATATAAATAAAACAAGTTAATTGCTACTTACATCACAAAGTAAATTTATCTTACACCTAATCAACAAAAACGGTTTTTTTAAATTTCTTGTAGTTAAAATCTTATTATGATATTATCAGTTTAAAGATGTTGGCTAATAAACTGCAAATTTATTTTTTACAAAAATAAGTTTTTTTTAATAAAGATCCTATATAGACACTCAAAGGCACTGTATACACAATTGAAAAGAGAAAAAAATTAATATTAGGCAATCTATAACATTTTTGTGACCTTCGTGATCTAGCGCCCCTATTGACTTGGCGCTAGGGGCGCGTATGTTCCATTTGTCCCTCTCTCTCGGCAACCCTTCTCAGAAAAGTCAGCCTGAGCCTCTATACGCATTTCATGTTCAATTTATCACAAACTTCCAAATTAAACTATTTCCTAAACTATTTTTCATAAATTTCCTAAATTATTATTTATAAGAAATTCTTCTGCACTATATTGAACTTTTTTAAACTATTTTTTTAACTACTAGTTTATTAAAATAACTGATAAATATATTGTTATTTAGGTTAAAAGGTTTTGTTTGCTAAATTTAAATTTACCTCTAGTCTTTGCGATTTATTCGTCACCGCAACAAAGACCCAAAACTGAGATTGGTTTAGGGCCCCATTGTGCCTTTATCCGACTCTGCAAAAGAAGCTCATTTACATTTGCTTCAATAAAAAAGTATTTGTTTTTAATACCATATTTTTGGCACATTGTTGAATTATTCTATAATTTAATTAATTAAAAAATTGTTATTTGGCTATTCGAATAATTCAAATATTCAAAAACCGCAGGTAGTGTTAAATTTAAACCATGAATAGTGAATAATTTGCTGTTTAAATTAAACCATGTTTAATTTAAACAGCAAATAGTGTTTAATCACAACTCTAAAACTCAGAAACGTAAACATAGACAAAGAAAACTGGTACGTGGAGAACCTGGTTGAGCGCCGTACTATAGTGGATCTGGTGAAGTTTGAA